CCCCCCCCCCTTCTTTTCTGTCCTCCTGTAACGGCCCATCGGAGGGCATACTCTCACATGTGCCCGCAATTCTGTATCCAGCTGCTTTCACGTCCAAATGTGCTGCCATTATTACGGGAGGGCTGTAACGCCCGTTGCTAGGGCACAATCTCACGTGCACCCCGGATTCTGTGTCTAGCTGCCTTCGTGTCGCTAGTGTTGTTGCTTTTTTTTTTCTTTTTTCTTCTTTCTTTTTTTTTTCTTTTCATTTCCGTAGAGCACCAGAAAAGAAAGCACAATGGGACCCAGGCTCGTCAAAACTCGGTGTGCAGTGAAATTCAGGGTCGGTAAAAACAGGATCGGAGGTACCCCCAAACACCGTGATGTCCAGATTACAGGGCTAATTTTGGAACCTTCAAGTACATGTAGCTGGTCTCGTACTCCGCCGACTTAAAAAGACATCAAAATGAAGAGGGCTAACAAAAGGAGGAGGTGGAAAAAAAAAGAAGAGTTTTGTTGAGTGCACCAAAGCTACTTTATATCTCACTGTGAACTCTCCCTTCAGCTTAGAGTTTGCAAAAACATTAACTAAGAAGCAAAACCATAACATGTGAGAAAACATGAGTCTTACAAGCAGGCGCACAACAACAACATCCCATGGTATCTGCCCTCACGCCAAGGCAGGTGAAACATGTGTACCTGAAGTATTCAAACTGCTTTTTTGGCACTCCACCACCAGTTATGGAGAATAAGCAGAGAAGCCGAAGCACACTCATCAGAGGCTCTTGTTTGTGAATAAGATCTTCAGTGTAGGTGCTGACCCTGTTCGAGGAATCGGGCAAGCACACAAAGTCCAGCACTACTGAATCCCCGAAAAGCCACAAATGTTACCCTCCGAAGGGAAAACCAACCATCAATTTCCATCTATTGCTTTTAATAAATTGTCTTGGACTCGAAGTCTTTTGATCCACACCGTTCGGGACACCCACTAAATTGCAATGACACAGCAAAGATACCATGGTGCCTGCGTGAGAACCTTCCAATTCAAGGAAAAGAGATAAAAAAGAATGGCAGGAATGACACAGAGAAAACAGCATGGCACTCATAGTTGTTTGGTCAACAATGTCCACGACACCCGATTAAACTGTAGTGACACAACAAACATATCAAGGCGCCTGCATGAAGACCTTTCTAATTCAATGAAAGGAATCAAAAGAAAAATGCAGGAATGATACAGTGAAGTAAGCATGGCCCCTGCACAAGGACGAGTATGCTCAAATAGAGAAGCCCGTTTTTAGGAGAACAAAGAGAAGGGGCAATACGTTGTCAATATCACGATCAGCAAGGTCTCGACTCAGGTGAGGACGTTCCACTGAGTGCCTTTCCTTAGCTTTCTGCCTTCCAACCTATACCAACAATGAAAAAGCCTCTCCCCATAGTTGCAGTCTGAAAATTCTGCACTTTTCGGGAAAAATGCTGTCAACTGCCGTGATTGCTGAGATTTCTGAATAGGAGCCTGCACGTTTCTGAGACAATGCTGTCTTTTTACCTGGTTGGTGAAATTTCCGTATCTGAGTCTGTTTTGCTGTGTTTGCTGAGTCTGAGTGTCTGCTGACGTTGTATGTGTGTCTCTGTACTCGTCTATGATCTGCTAAGTCCCGAGTCTGAATCTGTGTCTTAACTGTGTTTTCCATGTTGTGTGTCTGTGCCTCAGACAAGGGTAGGTTAGAGAATAAGTGCAGGCTCAGGACCAGGGCTGAAACTTTTGCGGTAGGAGGACCTTCCGAGATTAATAGGTACGATACGGACAAAAGTAGAATTGTCAGGGAATGAGTAATGGTATTTTAGTATGAAACGATGTCACGGTTTTCAGGGCCCAGCCCCAGTCCAAGTGTACCAATGTTCCCACTCCCGCCATAAGCAGGGCTAGAAGGGTTTGAGTTCAATCCCGTAGGATGGACTGAATAAATTGAGTCCGCTAGGGTCCTGTAGGTTAGGAATCCGAGTCAGTGCAGTCCAGTCTCAACACATCACCAGCCCTGGGTCCCAGGAAAGTAGGTGAACACTCAAGAGGCATCATAGGCCGATGACCCGGGCCGGCAGGCTACCGGGTACTGGTCTGAAGAGTCCTCTATTGTCGGATACAAAGCACAGCAGCAGCTGGGATTGACACCGAATTCCACCCCAGCAAGTTGCAGAAGCACTGCTGTGCCCTTGTGCAACTGAAGTGATAAGTGAGGATGCAGTGAGGCTACGAAAGTAGCTGTAGTCAACGGGCTCTGGGTGCCATAACTTCATTGTGGGTAGAGAGAGGGAGAAGACATTCACACACACACACACACACACACACACGCACACACAAGCACACACACACACACACACACACACGCACACACACAAGCACACACACACACACACACACACACA